CCTCAGAATCCTCCCCGCGATTAGATAACATAGGCGTTTAATAAACGTGAAGTAAGTATTCTATGGGTCTTGGCCCTAGCAGGAATTCGTTCTGCATAGATAACTCCTGATAACCAGCCTTTGGCAGTTGTGCGTGTTTAACATTACTTTTATAGTTGTCAGGTGAAAGTTCTTAGTCTGCCTTGAAGAAATGAAAATATTGCCGAACTTCCTTTTCTTTACATTTTTTAAGACAAATATACGTGTGGTTCTAGTGTACAAAAGGGAGTATTTTGAGATGGACCCGAATTTAAGAGGTGGAAGTTTGCGAGGTGAAAGTGGGGGGTGGGGTGGTATTGGAGTCTGAAGAGAGAGTCTCCATCCTGGGCATCCTGGGAACTAAGAGGGCTTACCTTTAGAGGCCTTTCAAGATCTGAAGAGACCGGCAGAGGCTAGGTTAGGAAGGCCCACGGACTTTGCCGAGGGATTTGAATTTCGAGTCAAAGTTGATAGAAAGTCATTGGACAATTGTAAGCAGAGGTGGGACAGAGGTGGGTTAGTGAAAACCAGTCTAGGTAGTTCAAGGAACTGGTTGGGCATGGGGAGGAGGAGAGGTTTAACCAAGAGTTGTTAGAATCCAAGACAAAGGACTACAGTAGGAAAGTGATTCTCACCCTTGCTACTGCAGGGACCCATTAACACAGTTCCTCATGCTGTGCTGACTCCCCTCCCCCCCAACCATAAAATTATTTTCGTTGCTACTTATGAACTGTAATTTTGCTACTGCCACAAATCGTGATGTAAATTATGTGGATTCCAGTATCTTAGGCGACCCCTGGGAAAGGGTCACGACCCACAGGTTGAGAACTGCTGCACTGGGGACTCGTGGGGAGGTGACACGCGACTCCTAGGGGAGCCAGTCCTGCCTACACTTGAAGGGCTTAGGGAGCTTTTTATAAAATAAGATGAAACCAATTTGAATATGTGGGGCTATGTGGTGGCTTTTGTAAGAAGTTCCGGATGCCTTACCACCTTTCTGTGCTCTGTGGACCTGGATGCTTCTCCAGATGACCCACCCCATGAGCCCCACCCACGAAGTGAAGGTGGGCTGTTACTGAAGCCATTGTGTGCATCGCCTTGCTGACCTCCTTGACCCTATGGCGAGAACCTGATAAGCCAGCCCTTTCTTCCCTTTGAAGGAATCCCGTGTCACCCAGGGGCAGGAATGAATCTTGGTTTGGATTTGAAAGCCCCGCTTGCCTGCCCACAGCAAGAGCAGCTCTCTGTACACAGGAACCTTTGCCCACACGTCTGCCTTATAGCAGGACTTCTAGTGTTCCCTAATTCCTTAGCATTTCTTTGAAGTAACAGATTTCCTGGAGCCTGTGATGGGCGGGCGTACAGGGAAAGAAGGAAAGAAACCCCCAGGTTCTCACTGTGGCAGTATTGCAGCCCTTAAACTCCTGGGCTGTCACTCAACCTGCAGAGCTCAGCAGCAAGGTAGCTGCTGGCTCGGGGAAAGTTGGCACACTTACAGTTACTTGTCATGGGTAAAGGATTACAGTTAAGGTATAGCAAGAAGATCGGGGGGCATCCGATACAGCCAGGAAATGTGTCAATACGGGCTAAGGGTCCCCAGCCGTGCACAAAAGGTCTCAGCACTCATTCATCTCACGCACAGAACTGCTCTGTGAAGGACCAACAGCTAAGCTGCTTCCAAGAAAAATTTCCTGTTTCCTCCTTAACATACGTGTCTGTGGCTTGCTTAGCAGAACCCCTCGTCCGCAAGTTTCATTGTGTGGCCATTGTGCTTTCGAGTCTGGTGGCCTCGCTGTTTTAGAAAACGCCATCCTCGAGGCGCTCACAACACCACACACCTGCACTCAAGGAAGAGGTCCGCCTTGCCCTTCGAGCCAGGTGTTCACAGTGAGCTGGGTAGATGCTGAAGTGACTGGCTAACAGGCTGTGGTGTTTCCCGGTTGTGGGTGGGTGTGCGCCTGCACATGCACGCACGTGCAGCACACACGCTATGGTGTGTATGTAGAGGTCAAAGTACAGCCTCAGTTCTCTCCACTAAGGGCCCCAGGATCAATCACAGCTGATCAGACTTGTGCAAGAATCCCATTAACCCAACATCCATCTCCCTGGTTCTGCTTTTGGCATCTTAAACTTTGTCCCTTGCCTCCCTAACAAAGGAAAATTCTGCTCTATACAAACTAGCATTCTGTGAGCCCCTGTTTCCCCTCTCACCTGGAACATAAAGCTCATTCTTTTTTTTTTTTTAATAAAGCTCATTCTTAAGAGGAGTTGTCTGACTGCTTCCACCTGCGTTTTAGGACCTTGTACCTTGAGGGTGCTGTGAGCGTGTATTAGGATCAGTGTGAGGAAATGAACCGGGGTGCAGAAGGCTCAGGCTTGGCTGGAGCTTATCGGATCCACCTGTCTGCATGGTTTTTACATGGGTGCTGGGACTTGAACCCAGGTCGGCACGCTTGCAGAGCAAATGCTCTTCTCCCCAGAGCCATCTTCCCCAGCTCACATCATTTGTTTGCTAACCAGGTGGCCCTGAAAGTGACTGGGTGACATCAGGGTGGGACTGTATGAGAACATGCCATTTTCTTAGTGATAGGGAACAACTGAGACACAAGCCATCTGTAGACATCTGGGTGTTTCGGAAATTGCATGGCACCTTATGTGATTAATGTAGGTAAAATGTTCTTCTCATGGGTAAAGGATTCCGTTAACAGATGTAAAGATGCTTTAGAAAAATACATTGCCTCTTTTCCCACCTTTCAGTACAAAACCACTTGAATGAGAAAATCAAGAGCATGCTGTAAATAGGTGTCCGCATCTTCTAAGCTGGTGCCTAATGAAGCCTTTGTATGTACACTAGCCTGATGCCCTGTCTGCATGTGCCCCGAAATGGACCAATGCTCAGAGTCTCTAGTCACCTGACTTTTAATTGAGAGAATAAGAAAGCAAGTACTCCTTTTAAACCATCTATTATCCTGTGTTCCGCAGTCTGTTCTTTGGAAATATTCTCTAAGGACACGCACACTGAATGATTTTAAATGTTCTTAAGAGGCCATGAATTTGTGGGGTTGGAAAGATGACTCTGTGGTTTAGAATGCTTGTTGCTCTTTCAGAGTACCCAGATTCGGTTCCCAGCACTCACGCAGTGGCCCACAGCCATCTCTAACTCCGGATCCAGGGAATCCGACACCGTCTTCTGATCTCCCTGTGCACCCAGAAAACACGTGATCTACGTTCAGGCAAACACCCATACACATAAAACAATTTTTTAAAAAGCCATGGATTTATAAGAGAGCAAGGAAGGATATTTGAGAGGTATGGGAGGGAGAAATGGTGGATATAACTTCCAAAAATAAAACACTTTTTAAAAACAAGCAGCATTTTTTTTTTCTTTCTGAGTCCTCTTTGGGAATCAGGAGGGCTCCTCAGAAGGAAATTTTGATTCTCCTAGTCTGAAATAAAATGTTAAGCAATCATGTTTTTACTCCTTAAAATACTCTCCTAGAAGCTGTCTTACGATCTTATTAAAACTTCCTTTATTAATCTCTTGGGAAGACAAGACATGGATTTAAAAAAAAAAATACGTGAACCCTGGCAGGATGGGTCAGCAGGTGCTTGCTACCAACCCTGAGGATCTGTGGTGGAAGGGGAGAACAGACTTCCACAAATTGTCCTCTGATCTCCACATCTGACCACTTACATACATACAATCATAAAGTAAATAAATGCACTAATTTCAATTTTAAAATTAATACATGAAGAAGACCGGGCTCAGGTGATTCACAACCACGGTTTGCTCCCTGGTGTGCCTAGAAATGACATTCCAACTTGTCTTGACGAATTAAAGTTTTTAAAAGTTGCTCTTCTTGAAAGGACAAGGAAAAAAATAATAAGTTAAAATAAAAAAAAAACAATAAGTGGGAAACCTTAACGTTTGAGTAGACAAAAGTAACGTGAGGCGTGTATTTGTAATGGTGGCCACCAGATTGACATCTGGCTTAATGAAGATGGGAATCTGGGCTTGATTAAGCAATGTTGAGACGTCTGTCAAGTGAATAGCCTTAAATAACCAAGCGCTCTAATGGCCTGAAGAAGGTGGGAAGAGGAGTTGAAAGGAATATTCTTTGTGCAAACACAGAAACTAATTAATGTGTCCAGGGCCACCTCCGCGAGTCAGTTTTAACGGGATTGTAAATGCGTGCCTGAGTGGATTTGAACACAGCGTGTCAGTTGCTCTTGGCCCCTCTGTTTAGCAATACTATCTACAAGATGTTTAACCACGGGGAAGTGGGGCCTTTATTAGGCAGTTAGCCTGCCAAGATGCTGGGATTCAGTGACATTGTGCCCTCGGTTTCCTGAGGCAGCCTGCTGCGACTCCCTCCCACTGAGGAATACAGTGCTCCTAAAGGCACGTTGTCATTGTCTTTGGCTAGCAAAAGGCCCAATCCACAAATGCCACAGGGCAGCAACTGTGCCCAGCCAGGTTCTACTCTAGATGTCAGGGTGTTATCTGGTGGGGTTTTGTTGAAGCAGAAAATAATAAGCCTTGTTAGGCCAGCTGGGCTTCAGCTCAGTCATTCAACCCCTTCTGTCCTTGTGCGTCTCGTTTTGGAAGCGTGTCCAGAAGCAGCACGGAGTAACTTACTGCTGGGAACCCATCTTGGATTTTTTGTTTGTTTTGGTTTCTGCAGCACAGGGGATCAGTCCCAGGGCCTTATGCATGGCTGTACCTCTGAGTTACAGCCCCAGGCCCCTTCTGTTCTCCTTAAAGAGAAAACAGATCATTGCATTCATTTTAAAAAAAAGATGGAAGGATGTATAAAATGTAAGCCTTTGGGTATGAACTTTTTGCTGGTTCCTTTGCCTGTAGGTATATATCGTTTTACAGAATTTGTTTTTTGCTTGTCTGATAGAATCAGTTTGTTAATGCAGGAAAGTCACACGGAGGGTTAACGTGGCTAACAAATTCATCTTCTGTTTGTCTGTAGAAATTGAAGCCAAGGAAGCTTGCGACTGGCTGCGGGTAACCGGATTCCCCCAATATGCACAGCTTTATGAAGGTAAGGCAAGGATGCCATCTTATCTGAAGTCAGCGTATTCGTAACACTGACCTCAGGAATCGAGGACTTACTCCGAGACATTTTGTCACTTAGTTAAATATTCCAGTTTCTAAAACAATGGGATAAGTACCCAAGACTACACCTCCCCAGGATCTGGCAACCACCCAAGTCCCTCCCTCTCCACCTTCCCCTTCACTCCAGGGTCAGAGTGTGTTAAGTTACAGCCCATCTCGTTCACCTAGCCCCAGTCCCAAGTTTGCCACCTGCTGTATGACTGGGTATAGCCCTCAGCTTCAAGGCCTGTCCTCAGGCGGCAGTGGCTCGTATAGCCCTGCTGTGACCTACTCTCCAGTCAGTGGTTACCACAAGCTGGCGAGCTTTAGTCTGTCTCCTGCTTCCCGTACCCCTACCACTGCTCTCCACGGGGGCCGACAGTGACTCAGGAATCGAGGTCTTACTCAGAGACATTTTGTCACTTAGTTAAATATTCCAGTTTCTAAAACAATGGGATAAGTACCCAAGACTCCCACCATTCAAAACAAAAGTAAAACAGAACCTTAGTATTAATAGAGTCATCTTGTCCTTCTGCAAAGAGTAAGCCGTGTCCTAAAAACACCCACACACCAAAACAGGAAAGGACAATTAAAGTTAAAAAGATCACCGCACAAGTTTGCTTTCTTTGTCTCTGTGATAAACAACATGACCAAAAGCAACCTGCAGAGAAAAGGGTTTATTTCATCTTGACAGCTTACATCCCATCACCAAGAGAAGTCGGGGCTGGAACCTGGAAGGAGGAACTGAGGCAAAGGCCTTAGAAGATTGCTGCTTATTGGCTTTGCTTTCTTGTAGTACCCTGAAGTACCTGCCTAAGGGCGGCCCTGCCCACAGTGGGCTGGACCCTCCCAAATCAGTCATTAATCAAGAAAATGCAGCTCAGACTTGCCTACAGGCCAATCTGATAGAGGCCTTTTCTCTGGTGTGCTTCTTTCTTCCTACTTGACCCTGGCTTGTGTCAAGTTGATGGGATGCTAGGGACAGTCACGTCTAACTCCTTCTCTGAGGCTCTGGTTCCATGGGTCGATACCACGTGTTCTGCATCCATTGAGATGAATTGGCTGTTCATTTCAATGGGAGACCTAGTATCTGCATTTGAAATTATGTTATAATGATCGCAGCTTTGAAATAGCGAGCTCCATTTTATAGATCATTTTCTTTTGAATGTTTAATTTTTTAATTGTTTTTATTTATTTAAAATTTTTGTACGATATATTTTGATCGTGTTTTCCCCCTCGGGCAACTCCTGTCAGAGCCTCCCCACCTCCCTACCCACATAACTTCATGGATTTTGGGTTTGTTTTTGTTTTTTGTTTGTTTAATATTCTCTCTCTCTCTCTCTCTCTCTCTCTCTCTCTCTCTCTCTCTCTCTCGTAATAAAGCTGAACTCTTTCTGACTGACTCCTCTACTGCAGGGTTCCCTGCCTCCTGAGGGGAGGGATTTGATGGGGGAGGGGGTGACAGGACGTGGGACTCAGGACTCAAGGCAGGAACCTGGAGGAAGAAACACTCATCCATTTAGAACTGAGTGTTCTGAGGTCTCTCACTCTCTGCATAATGTCTGGCTGTGGGTCTCTGAATTTGTTTCCATCTACTGTAGGGCAGTGCTTCTCTGGTGATGACTAAGCAAGACAGTGGTCCCCGCGAGTTATCAGAGTGTCCTTAGGAGTCCTTGTAGCACCACAGGCTGTTGGGTTTTTTGTTTTGTTTTGTTTTGTTTTAAGATCAGTAGTGCTTGATTTTACCCAAGGTCCCTGGGCTCTCTAGTCTCAGATTCCTGCACACCCAAGCCGTGGGGGGGTGGGGGGTATGGATTCCATTTTATGGCATGGGTCTTAAATCAAATCACATCTTGGTTGGTTACTCCCAAAGTAACCAGTTGTGGTTACTCCCACCATGGCTCTAGCCTGTCTTACAGGCTGGACACCATTGTAGATGGAGGGTTTATGGCTGGATTAGCATTTATGTTCCTCTTTTGGTAGTGTGCAGAGTCCCTTCCTATACTAAAGACACTAGACCGTAGGGTGAAGGCTCTCATTCTATAGGCAATGTTCAAATCAAGCAAGGCATGGAGTGATTCCTAACGTAGTCTTTCGGTGGCACTCAGTGATGATTTACTTTTATGTCCCGAAATAGCTTAGTGTCCCTCAATTTCACAGCATATATGCAATTTCTTATTGTTCTTTTATTTTGATTTTTGACCCAACACTTTGCACGGTGGAGTTGCCTGCCCTCAGACAAGACCTCCGACCTATGAAAGGGCTTTGGAGGAGGAAGTAGGAACAGCACTTGTTGCTTCTCTAATTTACAGCTCTCCTGGAGCTAGGGAAAGGTAATTGGATTTCCAGTGGCCAGGCTTTTGTTTTCCTCTTTAAGATTAAATTTCCTTCAATTATGTCCTTTTGGGGTGTTGATTCGCTGCTAAGAGGTGCCTTCTTATGCCTGTTGGTTTTGGTGAATCCAATTTCCAGTTGCCGTGTCTTACCTTCACAGTCCTAACATGCAGGCTCCGTCGTCCCTGCTGGTATCTGCCGCATCTCTCCAAGTCATCTGAAGCCTAGGCTGTCTCTGGGATGTGCTGGCCCAGGTTCTGGGCAGTCATTTCCCGCCTCACCTTGCTCCTATGCCAGGTGAACGAGCTACACACATTCTGTGGCACGGCCGCCCACAGATCCCTCATCTTCCTGATTAGCTCCGTTTGCTGCCTGCAGGTTTTCACTTCCTCCCTCTACACCCAGGCTGGAAGTTGGGTTCAGACCGCTTCTACCCATCAGTAAACCATCATTTTGTAAAAACCAGGTCCTTCAACAAACAGTCTAGGCAAATAAGAAGAAAATTGATTGAATTCTTGCATTCCTCACAGTTAGTCATTACTGGGTGTTTTTTTTTTAAAAACAGAATTGTTATTCGTTTGGATCAGAAAACTGACCTTAAGTATAGCATAGAAACTTAGAAACAGCTAAAATAGCATGGTTTCTTTTTCACATATGCTTAGCAGGCAAGGACATTAAAACTTTCCATTTGCATTCATAGATTTTATGTTATATACTATTTAAAAGTATTTCCTCTGATCTCGGCTTATTATTTAATAGAGTCTGAGTCCTTAAAGGATAGGCTATGTGACCGTGATTCTATTTAGTAATTTGCATTCATATTCACTGTTATCCTTCTCTGTGTGGTCACTATGGCAGTGTCCCCCTGCCCTCCCTCTGTCTACTGATGAAGAAGTATACACTTGGAATACTGAATTCCCTACAGATCTCCTTTGGCCATCGAGCTGTAACAATGTCCTTGGTCTGTGTACATTATCAGTCAGGGTCAAAGGAATCCAACTCTTGCCTCCTGACAAAACAAGAATAGATGGTAAACTAATACTGAGATAGCTTTCAACATTGTTTTCCAAAAGATGCTGTAAATGCTATCCTTAGAAATAAGGAATTCTGTCCCATTCTGTAAAACCAGGGATTGTAAGTTAAGAACATCCAAGTCAGCTCAGAAACAAGGGTGTGACTAGTTAGCCACAGCCCCCAACCCTTGCCATGTCCATCCCAGCAGTGCATTTTCTACTTTGAAGGCCAAGGGAATTGTATGGATGGTGATGATGGTGGTGGTGATGATCCTGTTGGGATGATGGTGGTGATGGTGCTGATTCTTTTGGGGTGGTGATGGTAATGGTGATGATCCTGTTGGGATGATGGTAATGATGGTGATGATTCTGTTGGAATGATGGTGATGGTGATGATGATGATGATGATGGTGATGATGATGATGATGATGATGATGGTGATGGTGGTTGATGATCCTGTTGGGATGATGGTGGTGATGATGATGATGGTGATGATCCTGTTGGGATGATGGTGATGATCCTGTTGGGATGATGGTGATGATCCTGTTGGGATGATGGTGGCGATGATGGTGATCCTGTTGGCATGATGTGGTAATGGTAATGATGATGGTGGTGGTGATCATGACGATGATGATCCTTTTGGGATGATGTGATGGTGATGATGGTGATGGTGGTGATGATGATGGTGATGATGGTGATGGTGGTGATGATGCTGTTGGGATGATGGTGGTGGTGATGATGATGATGATGATCCTGTTGGCATGATGGCTTCTGCTCCTTGGTGGACCCACAAAGAAGCACAGAGTTGGGACACTGTATGTGCCTTCTACTGGAAAAGCCGTTTATCAACATTCATAGCTGGACTGCAGACGGGAATGAGTTGCCTTTACAGGAGAATCTCAGAGCTGTTGTCATGTTTCCATCATCCCTTGTAGCCTTTCTCCTCTCTGCTCTGTTGGATACCTTTATCCACAGGGTTTTACTGTAATTATGGCTGGTGTCAAACCTCTGTGTATCCCATGCTGACCTGAAATTCAGAGATCTGCCTGCCTCTGCTGTAACTAAAGGCATATGCCACCATGTCTGGAAATTGAAGGGATTTTTACTTCAAGATCCTGAACCCAAGAAACATATTTAATTTTTTCAATTTTCTGTTGACGCAAAGTATGTATTGTAAAGCATGGCATACCATTATATTGCATGTTTATAATATGTAGTAATCGGAACCTGCGTAGCTGTCATCCCAAATGTTTATTATTGTTTTGTCTGGGGGAACATTCATAATCCCCTGTCTACTAGCCATTTTCAAAAGTACAATCGTGGTCACTCATAGCTATCTCGGTAACTCCATAGCTTTAGTCATTGTTCCTCCCAGCCAGCTTCCTGTCTACACCTTGTAAGCCACCCTTCTCCACCCCTCTCCCTGTAGACCCCCAGGTCCCCAGGCTTGTGATCACTATGTCACTCTCTCTGCAGGCTGTACAGAGCAATTCTTCCTGCTCTCTGTCTGGTGTAAGCGGTTCCTTGTTCTGAGAGCAGTGGACCCTCACAGATTTAGGGGCTTGGTTGCCATTGTTTTGCAGTAAGTGTGTAGTTGTAGTTAGGCCTTTGTTTTACTTGGGAGTTAACCCTTTGGCTGCCACATGGAAGTGCTAATATTTGTTTTAAAATAGCATATCTTGGGTTCTCTGCAGTATATCCTATCATGTAAATGGACCAGTCCCTCCAGCTGCCCTTGGCCATTGTTCCCTGGATCTTTCCTGGCCAGGGTTCTGTTTTGACTCTAGGCTTGCTTTTGTTTTTCCTGTGGCCCCTTCCCTGATGGCCTGTGAGCAAAGACATTTTTTTTTAAGCCCCATCACAAAGGAGACTCCTTACTGTATTCAACCTGGCTTAAATTATAACTCAGAGCAGGCGTTTCCTGCCTAGTAATTAGTTTGAAGGCAGAAAGTGTTTTGAACTCTTTCTGTGACAGAAAAACAACTCAGAGATTCTCAACTACTTTAGAACTGACTTAAACCACGGGTGGAATCACTACATGCGCCCACAGAGGGGATGAGGAGTTGTGGGAACAGTAGATAGCGCATTGCCGAAACAAGCTAATTTGGCCAGAGCCCGGGCACTCAACTATACTTGTTGTTTTTTTTTTTTTTTTTCTCCCTACAGATCTCCTGTTCCCTATTGATGTTGCTCTGGTGAAGAGAGAACATGATTTCTTGGACAGAGACGCGATTGAGGCTCTTTGCAGGTAAACTGACATTTCCCTTTTATTTTATTTTATTTTTTTAATTTGATAGTTTATGTCTCTGCTTTTTTTATTTTATTAATTTATTTATTTATTAAAGCTTTCTGCCTCCTCTCCGCCACCGCCTCCCATTTCCCTCCCCCACCCCCAACCCAACCCCCCTCCCTCATCAGCCCAAAGAGCAGTGAGGGTTCCCTGCCCTGTGGGAAGTCCAAGGACCTCCCACCTCCTTCCAGGTCTAGTAAGATGAGCATCCAAACTGCCTAGGCTCCCACAAAGCCAGTACAAAAAAACGTGGTACTGTAATCTCAGCACTCAGGGCGGAGGCAGGCCAGTCATAGTTCAAGGCCAGCCTGGTCTTGAACTGAGTAAGTTCCAGGACAGACAGGACTACCCTGAGAGACTTTGTTTCAGAGATAGACAGACAGACAGACAGACAGACAGGCGATAGATAGATAGATAGATAGATAGATAGATAGATAGATAGATGAAATGGTGCTCATCTCTCAACCTTGCTTTGCTTTCAATTTGATCCACATTGGATCTTTGATAATCAGATGATACAGTGACTTACATTGCTTAGAGCGAACATTAGATGAACACTAAAATGCTGTTGTATGATGTCATCATTGCAATAGCACCCAGGCTGTCTTGGGAGGCCCTCACGTAGGACCATCCCATATCCTGTTACCATTTGACGGCAGAAACAGCAAACTTTCTGGTGGTTTGGAAACGTGGACTTTCTGAAGAGTCCATGTCCCTGACCGCCAAGCACCACGCGAGTCAAAGCCGCCACCGTACTGGGTGGAAGGAGACATTCAGAGGGGCAGGGTTTAGACGAGCCAGTCAGGACTGTCATTCCAAGGAGGCTCCTCAGAAGCCCCAGCCGCCCCAGGTAGAGTGATGACGGGATTAAATAGGCCATAAACTCACAGAGCATGGGCTTTAATGTATAGGAGACAGGCAGTAAACGGGCACTGATGTGAACAGTGAATAAACCTGTCAGAGGTCCCGCTCAGGGAGCTGCTCGCTTCTCCAGGCTGAGAGGCAGTTTGTGGGATTTAGAGAAGTGAAGGTAATAAAACCTGAGGCTGCAAGGGCCTCGGGTGATCCTTTCAAACCCGGAGTGACATTTTTATTCATCTCCTGTTATTCATCCCTTGTAATTTTTCTCAGAATCCTTGAAAAGCCTTCACTGCCTGGTTCTAAGGAGAAGAATATGCATGGAGACAGAACTCACATGTTGACTGAATTCTAACGTGGAAGGCAGTTCTCTTTCAGTGACTTCTAAAAGACCTTAGTTATTTGTACGGACGTGCGTGTGCATGTGTGTTTGCGTGTGTATGCATGTGTTTGTGCATATGTGCATGCGTGTGCGCATGTGCACCTGGAGAGGCCAGAGGTCACCGCCCAGTGTCCTCCTCTTCAGTTGTTCTGTGCCTTGTTTTTTGAGGCCAGGTCTCTCCTTGAGCCCAGAGCTCACCAATTCAATCAGCCTGGCGAGCCAGTGGACTCCAGTGCTGTGATGCCTGGCTTTTGCCTGGATGCGGGCATCCAGACCCAGACCCTCATGGTTGGGCTCCCTATCAAGTGCTTAATTTCAGTGTTTGTTTTAACTGGGGCAGACATTGTAAGGTGAAATGGTAATCTGGTGTTTCTTTTCCTATAATGGTGAAGAACACAGTAACAGCTTTCTGTCTGTCTGTCTGTCTCTCTCTCTCTCTCTCACACACACACACAAACACATCCTTTCTTACATAATGTTGTTTGAAGCAGCAAGTTTGAGTACTGTGGTTTTGGGAAAAGACAAATTATATGTTCACACTATGGAAAAGACTAGATCTCATAGTTTGTAAAAAGAGAGAAAAAAGGTATCTTTATCTCCCCCAAAACAGTGTGCAGCTTTAGTGAGAAGTGTCCAGGGCACGCACACATTTTTTTTTTTCTGGGAAAAGAGAGTTTGTGGAGTTCCTGGAGTATGCAATATCATCACTACGTGATCTGGAATGAAAAATGTCACCAGTGCCGTTTGGAGAGAAGTCGGCATCTGGACGCTGAACTGCTCCGGACATTGTAAAGATGTTTTGGCGCTTAGCTGTGTGGCAGCCTTAATTTATTCTCAAGTCATCGCCGGTGATGCTGATGCATACGGATGAGGTCACTCAGAAAAGGCGTCTTAGGAAACACTTGCGCCTTGTGGCCGATCACCCTTCTCGCACATGGTAAGCCACTTAGGGAGTTGGCCTGCTGAACTACATCAACAGCTTAGGAATGTCTGGGTCAGAAAAAATACCATCGCAATATTTCAGCCCAAAGAATTCTGATTAAATACTTGAAGAATTTTATTTTTGAAGAAGTTTTCTTGAATGTCAGTTCAAAACTGACTTTTTCCTTTTTTGAAGGAAAAAGGCTCGCTAAAGTTTGGTTCATGCTGGCTCAGAATACCGCCTAAAAAGAGAAGCCGCCGCCCATAGAAGGGACCAGATACTATAGGAGCAAAGAAAGGATTGGGAAACTGGTCCTTTATCTGCGCTCTTCGGGGTCAGCATCAGTTTTCTCTTATGTGTATACACTGATATATCCTACATAGGTTAGGTGTCATAATGAAAAAAGAAAAAAAAAACTCATCAGATCCAGTTTGGAGGATGTGCACTAAAGCCTATGGTTGAGTTTTCATTTTCTTTTCTTTTTTTTTAATGAAATTCTTATTCAGCATGTAATAAATGTTCACTGTCATCTCAGCCCTGGGGAGACAGATTTAAAAAAAAAAAAAAAAAGAAAAAAATGGGAATTCAAAGCCAGTTCAGACTGAACAGCAAGATCCTGCCTCAAAAAAAAAAAAATCACTTTCTAATTAAAAGGGGGACATTCCAGGACCCGCAGTAATAGTCATCAAGAGTTGAGGGGATGGAAAGCCCAAGGGCCTTGTCCACACAGTCACACAATGGCAGTGACATTGCCTTCCGAGAAGGACACAGGTGGGACCTGTAGGCAGATATCAACCCCCCCCATAGGTTTTCTGACATTCCCTTTATTTTCTGCATATGCCTACTGAAGAGACTTCTTCCACCTATAGAATCCAGAGATAACAGAGCTGAAGTGTGTTTACAGATGTCTCCTCTTGGCTTGTTCTCTGTGGAGACTTTTTGTGCACATCCGGCCTTCCCTCATCCAAACATTTAAGTGAATGAGTTGTCAAAACTCGGTTGGGGTTCCTCGCATCGAATGCTCGCCCGTGGAGTGGGCCACATTCTGTATGCAGTCTCTCTATTTCTCCCTGGATAGAAAATACCCACATTCCCAGATTTGTAAGTCAAACAACAGTTGCGATAAAAAGCTAAAAGGAGCTGATTTCTTTTAATAGTCTTTACTCAGGGCGGAAGACTCTTAGACCAAAAAGCAGGAATAGGATGAGTTTGAACACTGGTACTATCAAAATATAAACTTTAATAATGTCCAGAAATTATAATTATCAGGGTAGTAGGCTACCCAACTTTTCTATTCCTGAGACAGGGTTTCTCTGTGTAGCTCTGGCTATCCTAGAACTCGCCCTGTAGACCAGACTGGCTCCCACGTGCTGGCTTACCCAATATTCTCCAAGTGTTATTCTAAGGTAGCAACGGACTAGTTCCTCGAAGAGATTGGCTTTTCCGTCAGCCTTGCTGGCTTCACTAAGAATCTAAACCCACTGAGGGATCTATGATTGTGAGCAGGTTCTACTCAGAACTGGAAGAGTCTCAAAGCACACACTGTAAACTGTGGGTGCTGCTGGGATGCCCCTGTCTTCCCGGGGCTTCAGGAACATTCCGCATTGCCTTTGGAATTCCTTTGGAATTAAAACTGACTCCTCTCAATCCATGAAAGCAATGTGAACATTGGCTAGTTGTTGTCAGATGAGAAAGGTAACTACATTGTCACCGTCATCTTCACTATGTACTTTGTCCCCAAACCGCCTGTGATGTGTCAAAGCTACGTCAAGCAGCATTCTCACCCGGTCACTCTTTCCAGTTCAGTTTAAAATGAGGCAAGTAATTGGGTGAGGAGATAGGAGTGGGGGGAGGTGCTGGGGGCAGGATCTTACTGTGTAGCCTAAGTTGGGTTAAACTCAACAGCCCTCCTGCCTCAGCCTTTAAGTACCAGATGACATCCAACAACAAATAATTTAAACATATGTTTAATTCCAAACCATCTATAAGACCTGGAAGGATTTTTGTCCAGGTCCTTTGTTTCTCCTTAGCCTTCTTCTGCTTTTTATGTTAAATGCAAGGAGGCCCAGATCTCTGTCTCTATCCTTTTATCTACGTGCCTACAGCTCTGTGCAGCCAAACTCTTGAACCTTTGATAGTCTGCCCTTGGCTCCCTCTGTCTTTAGAACAGTTGCAAGTTACCCAGGAGATAAGACCCCGCACATTCCTTTGGAGCTGGGCCTTGGGTGGTGGTGGGGATCTGAATGCCCAAGGCTACAGATGGTTATTGATAGCGGTATTTCAGCCACTTTCTTGAAGTTTGCTACTTCAGATCTACTTTGCTTCCTTTTTTTTTTTTTTTTTTTTGGCATCGTTAATACTTGTATCAGAACCAAGTGTAGAAGATGCTGTGTTTGGACACCAGATCTACCTTGTCTTAATCCTGGGTTCTTGGACAAAATTCTTGAGCTCTCTAAGCACCATTTCATCCCTTATAAAAGATAAATCATGATATCTGTTCTAGGAAGATCACCAGAAGGCTAAGGATGATCAAATGTATTAGAAGCACCCAGCACAGTGCCTCACCCAGAGACAGTAGCAGTTCATATGGCTAGAACCATTTTGTTAAAATTCTTGATTGACATAGCATGACTGTACTTATGTGATTTTTTTTCAATATTTGTATGTAAGGTATGACCATATCTTACCACCTTATAATGTTATCATTTCTAGTCTTGAGAATATTCTAGGTAGCTATTTTAAAATAAAAAATTAGTGTTAAGCATAGTCAACCCAATATGTCTAGCCCTCCTGTTTTTGTGCTTCATTAGTTATTTTTTCATTGGGACTCGCTGTCCCTTGCCAGCTTCTGGTGACCATTCTTGTGTTTTCTTTTATGAGATGAGTTTCTTCTCTGGCTAGAGCTACTATATCTTATGTCCCCGTTGCCCCTCTGATAGAGGTGTGCCGGCCCGGCTCATAAGCCTTCTTCGGAGATCCTGGGGAATGTGGGCCGGTGAGGGGAAATAAAGAAAGCGGCCAGCCGAAACTCTGAAAGTCACTTTGGCCTTCAGGAGTGCAATGCCATTAGTTTGGTGCTACCAACATAAAAAGATAAACTTGGCCTTTATAAAACCAGCCTCCTGGGTCTCTTTTTGTTTGGCCCAGACCTGGAGTTGGTGAAGTTGCTCCACCATCCCCCACCCCCACAGGCCTCCATGCCTAGTAAATCTGGTTATAAACATCACTCGACCATTAAAGCCCAAATGGAGTCAAGTGGAGATTTGATTACAGTTTTGATTAATGAAACCCAGACCTAAGATTAACTGTAACCATTTCTCATTGAAAAGATTGGGGGGGGGGGGGGACTGAAAACAGTAGGCGTGTCCTTTAATCGATGCCCTTTAGAGAGGGACCCTACACCCCTCTATGAGTTTACAGTGTTTCTCGGCTGTTGCCTCCCCATCCACGGAGAGGGTTTTTCTGAACCTCAGTCCTCTGCTCTATCTCTGTTTATTCTATAAACAGGCCGCCTCATAATCTATGGAATCAAAGGCAGGCTTATCAGACTGCCTAGCCTGGTGCGTCCAGGTTGTCAGACGAGTTACCCAGAGCAGGATGGGGAAGATAAAGGCCGAGGAGAGCTGAGGATCAGTTTGAAGTGGAGGGAATTAAGGGCTCTCGTTCCATGAAAATGTAGGCTTGCAGCTTGAGGAGGAAAGACTGATGGGGAGAGTCGGGAGGCTCAGGAGGCCGATGGCAGACAACTTTAAAAAAGGGTCATTGAGGGAAGACGCAGCGATGGTCATCTGGAAGATATTAGGAAGAACCAAGGCCGGGAGGATTGTCACTCACGCCGTCTGGACTCGCTAGTTAGGGAGTATATAAAAGGTGCTTTTTTTTTTTCTTATTTCCTGTGACTTATTCTTAAAGGATTTCATTTTCAATGAAATTGATGATTGATTGATTGATTGATTGATTGATTGATGGTGTGCTAAGGATTGAACCCGGAGCCTTGTGTGTACTAGGCGAGGCCTCTCACTAAGCACACTGGAATCCCTGTTTCTCTAATGTTAAATAGATGTTACTGTTGTGGGGGCGGGGCGTGCAGAATGTTCAGAACTACAGTTTGACCGCTGTTCCAAAGAAGAATGTGACCTGTTTGAACCCAGAGAGATTTTGGTTACCTGGGGTAGCAGTGTACAGATTTTTAGAGTAATCATTTGTGCGATTGCTGTTGGTTCTCTGCGGATAGAAACTTGTATAAAGCGTTGAGCCTTACAGAGGGCTGGACCATCCTCTCTGTAGAATAAACCAAAGTTGGAAAATTGCCTGCTGAGATGGTTGTTTGTTGGCGATTACTGAGGCCTGTCGTCCTTTTTAAGTCTTATGGGATGGGAGATGGGGTACTCTGAACACTTAGCCAACTGACTTCCTGGGCTCCTTACCACTCCTGCGTCTTCCCTGAAGCAGATGTCACACTGACGCTACAGCTGTCGTATGGCATCGACTCACAAAAAACGTGAAATTTAAACAAAAAGAACAAGGACTAGAAAGGCACCTTTAAGTCGTCCCCATGTTTTTGAGACTAGAACTCACTAGCCAGGTGAGACTGGCCTCAAACTCAGAGATCCCCATGCCTCTGCCTCCCGGGTACTGAGGTTAAAGGCGTGCACTGCCAGGCCAGGACTAAATTACTCGTTTTATAGCGGAAGCTTACTGTACTTGCCTAAGTTAGAAATGAGTTTGGGGAAGCTCATTATATGTGTCGGGTGTTTAGGAGAAATACTTGCCTGCCTCTTAGTGGTTTCCCGGCTTTGCTGATGTCCTTTCTCTGCTCCGTAGGCGACTAAACACTTTAAACAAATGTGCGCTGATGAAGCTGGAGATCAGCCCCCACCGGAAGCGAGTGAGTACCTGAATCACACAGCGGGGTGGAGACTACACATGCCCAAACCCAAATAGGACTGTATCGCGCAAGCGGTTAAAAAGTTCTGTCCGTTCTAAACATTAAAGCCCGTATTTGCAGCCAGCCATGGGTTGTGGTATCTTTTGCTTGGAACTCAAAGGAAGTCGTCTGTTACATTTCCTGCTGGACTCAGTGGGTACCCTGTGGTTAAAGACACAAAGCCGATTGCAGAGGAATTTCTCATTGCTCCCTGGAGGAAATAAAGCTAGCATTCTTGAGGAGCCCTTCCCGCTTCCCGGATGGAACAGTAACTCCATCTCACAGCTGTCAAGATGAAAGCAAAGGCCGGCATGGGGGATACTGTAGGAGATTTGGTGCGGGACAGGGAGGAAGAGGCCGGGACAGGAAGTCACACACACTCCGTCAGTGGTGATATGTACTGATTTTTTTTTTCCTTCTGGATAAGAACTGTGGGACCTTGTAAGAGGGTGAGGCAATGCTAGGAGTTAGTGTTGCAAATTCGGGTAAACAGGAATAAATTTGCCCACAAAGCACAGTCCTGACTGTTGCGAGTATCCATTTTAATGATCCAACAGTCCCTGACGTGCAAAAAGTCACCTTCTTTGGGAGTTAAATCTTGTAAATAAATGATCACTGCCCTGAGCTGGGCAGAGAGTCTCCATGTGGATATGAGAGGCGAGGTCTTGATATTTTCACATATATCCAGTAGCAAGGATAGCTAGCGTATTGAGTTCAGAGCAGTCTGATGGGACATTCCCAGTTCCTGCACATAAAGGAGGTATAATCAGCTGCCGTGTTACCTAGTGTTTACAAATAACCCATGCAAGGCACTCACTGGGCATTCTTGAAGCCCTGTTAAATTTCCTGGAGCATGTCCGACATTGAAACTGCCCAGGCCCCTTGTGACATTAACTGTGGCCGGATTGTAGGGGGGGAGGTACGAGCAAGAGATGACACAGGGTTGGGCTGCCACTTGATGGCTCACCACGTAGGGGATGTCTTGATATTTTTTTTTAGAGTCTTCAGCTGCCATTCTGTTAGCTTTTTGAAAGTGTTTTTTTTTTAATTGCGCAAGAGAATATAAACACACTCTTTGAACAGGCAGCTAAACTGGAGATGGTTCAGAGGGAGTCCCACCGCCGCTGACTCGAGTTCCAGTTCAGAATATTTCGCATGCTTGGAATTTCCGCCAATCTCATAGGTCCCCTTTGTGAGCAGTTAATGAGCGGCCTAAAGACTCAGATTTTCAACAAAATAACTCATTTCGCTGGCAACACTTGGTCAGACTTTCTGGTTAAGTCTTTAGATCTGGGCCAGTGAAATGACAGCGAGCTAAAGGTGCCTGCTGCCAAGCGTGACAACCAAGGTCTGTACCCAGGACCTACACGGTCGAACGAGAAAAATGTGTACTCTTCTGAACATGGTACAAACACTCATACACACCCGTAGACTTCCCTGTACACACCCGTACACATCCCTCACCACACACTCACGCAGACACATTCTCTAAGTAAAATAAGGTACTGAGAAAGCCTTCAGGTCCCTCTTTATTACTTATAAACACTATGAAAGATGTGAGCAATAGACAGTAGGCGTATCCTTTGAGGTACGCCCTGCCCCGTAGCCTGTGTCCGGCCTCCTGCCCTCTGCTTGGCCTCACACATACACGTCTTCATTTTTGTCTTCGCAGAGTGAGGATTCGGATGAAGATGAGCCTTGTGCAATAAGTGGCAAGTGGACTTTCCAGAGGGACAGTAAAAGGTGGTCCCGGCTGGAAGAGTTTGACGTCTTTTCTCCAAAGCAGGATCCAATCCCTGGGTCCCCAGACGGCTCTCACTTGCAGAGTGCCACCAGCCGCGAAAGCATGCTGACAGACCTCAGCGAGCGCCAGGAGGTGTCCTCTGTCCGGAGCCTCAGCAGCACCAGCAGCGTCCCCACCCACGTGCCCCACAGCGGGGAGTCTGTGACACCCCGAACGAATTCCGTCATCAGCGTCTGCTCCTCCAGCGGCGGCGGCCACTTTGTAGGCAACGATGACTCTTTCTCCAGCCTCCCGTCTCCCAAGGAACTGTCCAGCTTTAGCTTTAGCATGAAGGGCCACGAGAAAAACCCCAAGTCGAAGACACGGAGCCTGCTGAAGCGGATGGAGAGCCTGAAGCTCAAGGGCTCCCACCACAGCAAGCACAAGGCGCCTTCAAAGCTGGGGTTGATCATCAGCGCTCCCATTCTGCAGGAGGGCGTGGATGAGGAGAAGCTGAAGCAGCTGAACTGCGTAGAGATCTCAGCCCTGAATGGCAACCACATCAACGTGCCCATGGTACGGAAAAGGAGCGTGTCCAACTCCACACAGACCAGCAGCAGCAGTAGCCAGTCAGAGACCAGCAGTGCCGTCAGCACGCCGAGCCCGGTCACCAGGACCCGGAGCCTCAGCACCTACAACAAGCGAGGGGGCATGTACCTAGAGGGCTTCGACCCTTTCAGTCAGTCCACCTTGAACAATGTGACGGAACAGAACTATAAGAACCGCGAGAGCTACCCCGAGGACACAGTGTTCTACATTCCGGAAGATCACAAGCCTGGCACCTTCCCCAAGGCCCTCTCCAATGGCAGTTTCTGTCCCTCGGCGAACAGTTCTGTAAACTGGAGGACTGGAAGCTTCCATGGCCCTGGCCACCTCAGCCTACGGAGAGAAAACAGCAGCGACAGTCCTAAGGAACTGAAGAGGCGCAATTCCTCCAGCTCCGTGAGCAGCCGCCTAAGCATCTATGACAACGTGCCAGGCTCCATCCTGTATTCCAGCTCGGGAGACCTGGCCGACCTGGAGAATGAGGACATCTTCCCTGAGCTGGATGACATCCTCTACCATGTAAAGGGGATGCAGCGGATAGTCAACCAGTGGTCTGAAAAGTTCTCGGATGAGGGGGACTCGGACTCAGCCCTGGACTCCGTGTCTCCTTGCCCGTCATCTCCAAAACAGATACACCTGGACGTGGACCATGACCGAAGGACACCTAGTGACCTGGACAGCACAGGCAACTCCCTCAATGAGCCCGAAGAGCCCACTGACATCCCAGAAAGAAGGGACTCTGGGGTGGGGGCGTCCCTGACCAGGTGTAAGAGGTAAGGGCCTTACTTCTTAAGATCAAGGTGGGAACCAAGCATTGTCTGCTTGGTGGGTTGAAGCCGGAACCATGGAATATCCAAACATCAGGCCCCAACAATCCCAAAGAAAGGGTATGCCTGTACTAGGTGTGGACCTGTAGTCAGGAAGGATGAGAACAGTGGCGTCTGGAGGGTGGTGGTGTTTGCACAGTGAGATCAGTCTTAACGTCACCCAGGTGCATCTGTAGAAGTGGTTGTCATGGTAAAGTGCAGGTACAGTCAGCCCTCCTGTAGTTTCTGAGTCTTCAGACTCAACCAGGTACAGATGAAAAATGCTCGGGAGAAACCATCTTCTTGCCGTTATTCCCTAAATAATGCAGTAGAACAGTGACCTCCTTACAGGTTATTATAAGAGATCCAGAGATCATTTAAACTAAGTGGAAGGGTACCCCCAGTGTGCACAGATACTGCACATCATCTGTAAGAGACCTGAGCGTGCCGAGTCCGAGTGTCTGAGGATGCTCTGGAACGTACCTTCTGTGGCTCTGAAGGAAGAGCCATCCATTTCCCCTTGGGAAAACCCTGGAAAGGAGCGTCAGTCCTCTCGGTTGCTGAGATACCAGCGAGCAGCCTGTCTGGTCCCCTACAGAGGCATGTCCGTCTCATTCCCGCCCTGTTCTCTTGCAGGCACAGACTGAGATGGCACAGCTTCCAGAGCTCTCACCGGCCGAGCCTAAACTCTGTATCTCTGCAGATCAACTGCCAGTCTGTGGCCCAGATGAACCTCCTGCAGAAATACTCACTCCTGAAACTGACGGCCCTGCTGGAGAAATACACGCCTTCCAACAAGCATGGTTTTAGTTGGTAAGAGAATGAAGTAGGCTGTAGATTGTAACTGCAGGTGTACAGGCGATGGATGCCTCATGCTCCCTGCGGCTGTCCCCACACTGAGCGCTGTCCTTTGTCGGTCTCTCCAATCTGTCATTTTTATGTAGTCTGGCTCCATATCCTTGAGGTTAGGTTTGCCATACTTGGTGAAGCCCCTGCAGTTGCGGGGAGTTCACTGCAGGACTCATTAGGTTGGGTTTTCAGCTCTTTACATAGGAGATTGAATCCCTCTCACGTCATAGAACACAGGCGCCTTCTTTCCAGGTATAGGAACAACCCACACTAGATGAATATAGAGGCATTATCAGGTCATGTTCATGGAAGGAAAAATGGTGAGATGTTAGATATTTGGCCATATTTGTGCGTGCTCTTAGAAACTTTTTTTATTCTTTTAGCAGGGTTGGAGTTGAACTTCACTGAGTACACAGTCCATCCCTCTGCTGTTTGCTTTTGAATGACTGTTTAGAGCATGGCTCAAAAGCTTCTCTGTGCCAGAGAATTTAGTTTTTGTTTTGTTTTGTGTTTATTTGGGGGGAGCTCCCTGGCAAGAATGTTCAGGGAGTTATGAATTTAAGGAATTATCTATAAAATCTTACATATATGCTGTGTTTGTTTGGATGGATTTCTCTCTCTTTTGCTGGTGTTTTGAGACAGAGTCTGCCTTATTTTGTGACTCTGGCTGTCTTGGAACTGACAACGTAGACCAGCCTGGCCTCAGACTCACAGAGATTCACCTGCCTCTACCTCCCAAGTGCTAGGATTAAAGTCATGTGCCACCAGCCCACTACAAACAATATATTTTAAAAGTTGACATTTATTAGACGGACTCGCCATCATTTTGAAAACCCAGCCTTGAATGTGCACTGTAAGATGTGGAGCATCAGGGATGGGTTGTGGATATGGCATAATCTGCGTACAGACTGATTTTGTGCTCTAATACAAAGACAGGAGGTAGGTCTGGATCCAGGTCTCCATGTTCCACAGCATCACAGGCATGCCTGAATCTCTTCGTGCATGGTCAGAGTGGTTATCATCCAGTTGCTATGAAAACAGATGCATTTGGAGCACTCTCTGGTCCTCCGAGATGGCTTGAGACAGTCTGAGACATAAAGTCCACTGTCCTTTCTTCTCTGGCTCCTCCCTCCTAGAGGGGATGTAGCTGTGACATCCAAGCACCCCCCTAGCTAAGGCAGCTCCGTGCGCCTCGCTAAAAAACAGAAGTTGTTTGTTCTGAATGACAGGAGTACGTATTGACTGGTTTACCCCAGGATGCCTCAGATTCTCAGCGGGGAGTGTAATGTGTTCTTCCCACATTCCACAGCCGGGCTCCTCGTGCCCAACAAAGCCAGTATTATGCACGCTCCTGCCCCAGTACTGTACGCCTAGCTGTGTGGAAATACAAATTTGGCCCTTACTCCCTGGCTTTCCCTTTCCTAGAGCCATCAAGAGTGACATGTCGTGGGCGTGGGCAGTCACCCAGAAGTCAAGGCAGTTGGCTCTCTGTGGTGCCCCTCTGTGCTTAGAGTAATATTTTCCTCACTGCTATTTAAAACTGCATAGTTTAGATTCTCCATTGAGAGGTGTCCGCCCCCTTTCTCACCAAACCCTCAAAAAAAAATCTTGAGAGTCCACCCCACTACTACTTCAATTCTGGTCAGTTTTTCCAGTGAGTCAAAACCAAATGTAAAAGCCTGGCATTGTGAAATGGGGACAGTGCAGAGCACTTCTGCCCAAAGTCCCTTTCCTGTTTGGCTTTGCCCTTCCTGGCCTCGCTCGGAGGGGTCATTTGTGAGCTCAGATGTCTGCCTGACGGCCTTAAACGCCTGACATGGGTTTCCTGCTGTTGCCTATATGGCCAGGGCTGGACCGGCTTTCAGGATGGCTGGCAGCCTTGGGGAGCCTCACAAAACTCCCATTGTTCCTTTTCCACGTTCCTCTAAAAGCCTGAAGATGCTGCGTCCTCTGGGGTCAATGGCGGGGAAATTTATTTTGACTTCATTTTGCGCTCCATTTGGGCTCAGTGTGGCAAGCCAGTCAGCGTTGTGTGTTTGCCGATTTCTATGCAGTGGTACCCAGATCTCTCGATCTGAATCAATTCAAGCACCTAGATAGGATTCATACGCTTTTAGGGAAAATGGGAACTTGTCTCTCACACTTTTATCAGAACTACCTAGTAAGGTATTGCGTATTTTTGCCTCCCCCTTCCTGTATCATGGAATAGGCTACTAGCCCCGAATACATTCAAGAGCAGGCAAAAAACATTCATCAGCCTCCCCTAGGACCACAGATTCCTGTTCTCTAGATTGATAGTCATTAACAGACTCCCTGGATGAGGAAATTTGACAAGGTCTTAATTCCAACTCTTCAAGTATCTAAAACATAGATAGCCAGCCAGGCGTGGTGTTACGTGCCTGAAGAAGCTGAGACAGGAGGATTATAATTTCAAGACCAGACTGGCCTACCTAGTGAGAAAAAGTCTTCCGAGGAATCGGGGAGGTATGGGGTGTAGCTGTAATAGAACACTTGACCAGTAGTAATGGGTCTCTAGGTTCCTGTACCAAAAGGTCCCTTCACACACACACACAAACGCACACAAACCCCCAAAATTCCTGGATTCCCTGAACATTTTTTAATAGTGCGGAAGCAGGCCTTCTATATTCACATAATCCGGTGTAGCAGCTACTGAACACCGAGGACCAGTACAGCCCCAAGTGTGGCTGGTTCAGCTGAGAAGCTGGTTGCAAAACAGGCTGAACGAAATCAAGCAAACAGATGCATCCCATGTTCTTTCCACAGGGCCGTGCCCAAGTTCATGAAAAGGATCAAGGTTCCAGACTACAAGGACCGGAGTGTGTTTGGGGTCCCACTGACCGTGAACGTGCAGCGCTCGGGCCAGCCCCTGCCTCAGAGTATCCAGCAGGCCATGCGTTACCTCCGTAACCATTGTCTGGACCAGGTGAGGACAGCTTCCCATGGATCCCACGCGTGGGAATGGAGCTCCCTGCTGCTCTTTTCCTAGTTTTGAAGGAAAGGTGTTTGTTGCTTCTGCCCTCACCCCTAACATTTTTTTTTTCTTCCAAAAGGTTGGGCTCTTCCGAAAATCAGGTGTGAAATCTAGGATTCAGGCTCTACGCCAGATGAACGAAAGTGCCGAAGACTATGTCAATTATGAAGGCCAGTCCGCGTACGATGTGGCAGACATGTTGAAGCAGTATTTTCGAGACCTTCCTGAGCCCCTCATGACGAACAAGCTCTCGGAAACCTTCCTGCAGATCTACCAATGTAAGCATCCTGGGATCGCCCTAAGACTTGTGGCACTGGGTTTAGTGGGACCAACAGCTTCTTTCCATGTCATTCTTTTGACAAGAAAACCTGCATGGGGATCCTCTGAATACACAGGTTATCAGTTTCTTTCTCGCCTTAAGTGTGGAAGACGTTGGTGTACATTTACCGAATAATTTGAAAAGTCATTTTTGTGGCCTGGGAATGTGTCAGCAGAGTGATTGTATAGCCGACATGGAACACTGGGTTTGCTCCCCAGCACCGTGTAAACCACGGGTGATGGTGAGCACCTGTCATCCTAACACTTGGGAGGTGGAGATGGGGGGGTCAGAAGTTCAAGGTCGTCCTTGGCTATGCACTTGAAGGCTGCCTGGGTTCCAGGAGACCCTGTTTTAAAAAGAAAGAGAAAATAAATGTGGCTGGTTGGTCTGCAGGTGTGGAAGCAGTTGTACAACTTCACAATCCAGTTCTGTATTATCTTTCATTGTCGAGAGCCGTGTAATAGAGCTGAAAAGTCAGACCCAAGACCGTACACCTGCCCATTGGTGCCCTTTTCCCTTTCCCCTGTCAACAGACTTATCATTTACTTTGCACCTCTCTCACAGGGCTGCCGAGTTTAAAATTTCTCTAGTGTCTGTGTATTTTATCTCACCGGAAAAAGAATAAATGATGGTTTTTTTTTCTGTTATTTATCATGGTCCCTTTCAGAAATATCTGGGAAAACAATACGCATGTCCTCTTCACTCTGAAGCGCAGCTTCAATCAAACAATGGTGGAAATAAACGAGCAGGGTCGGGACTGTGGCTTTCACAGCCTTGTGTGTTTCTTGGCTCCCGTGGCATGGGAGCAGCGTGATTTAACGGCGGCTGCTCCCAGCTGCAATCGTCTTGAGGGCTGGCGTGTCGAGCTTCATTTTATGAGAAGCGGAGCTGGTCTGGCCTGGACTGTTTCGTTCTCCCTTTCGTCCCTTTCATATTTTATGAAAACACAGGTCACATTTTCCCCGACCGAGGTATTTGTTGTGCTCTGTAACCATGGAGCTGTTTAATCAGTTTGTCTTATGGCCCTGCATTGAAGTGACTTGGTTTTTCCACCACATGCTTTTAAGAGATGTAAGTTTGCCCGGTGAATAAGACTGGAAGGCTCCGTGCAGACTCACTTCGGTGTCAATTATTCTATAGGCATTTTTAGACATTTGCCTCTTGGTGTTCTCTCTAAAACTTAAGTTGTCATTTAAAAGCTGTCCATTTAAACTGACATCCTGTTTTAACAACCGTTCCTATTTTAAGGATGAGCAAGTGGGTCAAAACTGGTCCCCAGAGATTCTGAGCCTTTATAGCCAGCTGAGCAATCTCCATCCTTAACTTTCTGCACGTGTCTCACATAAACTTTTTATTGAAACTACACAAAACCCTAAATGGAGAGCGATTTGCATAATTAAGGTGGCAAATTCGACTTTTAAGTGCTTAGAAGACATAGTTCTGTGCACTACAACAACTTCTCTGGAGCCAAGCTCTGAGGTCGATTTTTAGAGTGTGTTAGCACTGTGGATGTTTAAAAAATTTCAACTCCCCCACAAGGCAGGAAATACTTGAGGGTAGTGACGCCGGTGGCAGCCCGTAATTTCTTCCTTATTAATCTTTAGTATGCTTTCTGCAAGTGCTCCTTCAGTGTGTGATGCCGATGTTTGCTTTGGGATGCGGACTTGCCGGGTACGTGGAAAATTACTGAGCTGGTGGTGGGAATGCTTGTGCCCTGCAGATGTGCCCAAGGACCAGCGCCTCCAAGCTATCAAGGCGGCTATTATGCTCCTGCCTGACGAGAACCGGGAGGTTCTCCAGACGCTTCTTTACTTCTTGAGCGACGTCACAGCGGCTGTGAAAGAAAACCAGATGACTCCCACCAACCTGGCTGTGTGCTTAGCCCCTTCTCTCTTCCACCTCAACACCCTGAAGAGAGAAAATTCTTCCCCAAGGTACAGATCACGCAATGGGGCGGTGGTGGCGCACGCCTTTGAATCCCAGCACTCGGGAGGCAGAGGCAGGCGGATCTCTGAGTTCGAGACCAGCCTGGTCTACAAGAGCTAGTTCCAGGACAGGCTTTAAAGCTACAGAGAAACCCTGTCTTGAAAAACCAAAAAAGAAAAAGAATAAAAAGGTACAGATCATGCAGGGAACATACCCAGGCCCGTCTCTCACGTCCTCCTAGGACCATGTCCCGGTGTTCTTGTTGGATTCTTACCTGACCCGAGCAAAAGTGGTTAGTCCTGGAATTAGGTCCATGTGTGTCACTGTGGTAGATTATCTGCAAAAAAACAACTTAAGGGAGTAAGGTTGACTTTGCTCAAAAGACCTTTGTTTTCATGGCAGCCTGGACACAGAGAGAAAAGAGGGGCACAGGGACAAGATACCCGAGGACGTGCCCCCAGTGACCTATTTTCTCCAGCTGCATCCTGTCTTGGGCATCAGTTGTCCAGACTGTGAACTGGTGGGGAGCATTTCCTGCTCAGGCCCCACGCCTCTGTCTCCTTTCCAAGCACTGCTTTCTAGAAGCAGTCTGTTAAGTGGAGGTGTCCTAAGAGAGAGCACCATGGGTCTGTGCTTTGGCGTGTCCAGTGTTTAAGGCAAACCAAACAGCGCCATTTTCGTTCTCCCAGCCAACAGCCTTGCAGACCTGCTGGCCTAAGAGGACTGGAGCGGGAGCTGCTTGGAGTAGGGAAAAGTTGGTAACCCCACTGCCTTAGCCTCTGTGGGATCAGGAAAGACACGTTTCTGGCCTGTGCCTGACGTCGAAAGCAAGGCTACAAAAGACCAAGGTTATTATTGAACTTCAGAGACACTCAATTTAACATACGGCCTATGCCAAATATTGGCAAACATGTCTGCATAGAATCCATGCACAAGGTGGGAATAGCTGTGGAGAAGTGGGAGGAACCTCTCAGTGCTCATCAAGACTGATATTTGTTGGGGACTTACTCCACACCAAGCACCCGGCTCTTTTCTTCCCATTCATCTTCTCATGTCATAACAATCCCAGGAGACAGACAGACTGCCAAGGATCTTTTTTTTTTTTTCACGAATAAAGTGAAGTTGGGGAAAGGTCAGTTCTGGAAGGAAGAACAGATCCGGTTTGTACTTCTTACATGAATAGTTCACAATAAGATCGCCCCTCCACCACAGGAAGAAAGGGTGAATAGCTGGATGGGCTGAACACATCTTGCTTCGATCCAGCCCTAGGAACCTGAAAAGTGTTTCTCAGCTTGATGCATTGAAGCCATTGTGCCTGGAAGCCATACAACAATACTTAAGGAGCCTTTGAACTAGTGTTAAAATTTGTCCTTGGGGGCATTCCAACTTTAATGGTATAGAAACTGCAGGAGCCAGATAAGAATAAGACCACCAGCTAGAAAACAATAGGGTTGCTCCTCACCTGAGGTAGGGGATTCTGTTTACTTAGCCATCTATCCCTAGTCCAAGCAGCTCCCATCTCAGTTCCTGTAGAAGCTGCCTCAGTCAACAGCAAATACACACTCTTATGAACTACTTAATAAAACATTTTCTAAATACCCTGGATATTAAACCAAAATATGTCTTTGTGTTTTGTGTTCTGTTTTTTTTTAATAAAACAACAACAACACAAAAAACTATGAGAAACTGTGCTGAACAAAATCAAAGCTTTCTTGAGCCACTCTACCCGCGTATCCAAACCCTTTATTTCTTTTTCCTAGGGTAATGCAAAGAAAACAGAGTTTGGGCAAACCAGACCAGAAAGATCTGAATGAAAACCTAGCTGCCACTCAAGGGCTGGCCCACATGATCGCTGAGTGCAAGAAACTCTTCCAGGTACCCAGTCCTGAAGCTTGGCCGCTATGCTAAGGCTAATGTGGATGGGCACAAAATTATTGGCTTGGTACTCATTCTCATCTGAGCAACAGGTCTTTCCCATAATTGGCGATTATGTACATAGTATATATACACACACTCATTGCAATTAATGTTTTGTGAAATTGTTGGCCTTTTACTTAAAAAATAAAAACAGAATTCAAGACTAGCCTGGTCTACAGAGCTAGTTCTAGAATACACAAAAGAGAACCCCTTTTGGGGGGGAGGGGGAGTGCAAAAGCAACAGTTACCTGGAATTAAAATTCTCTCTGAGAAACATGCTTCGGCCACGTAAGTCCTGTTGTCATCACTTATACCCTCCGTTAGTTGGTGGGAGCAGGAGTGGACCACCAACTTGAATCAGCACGTGGCTTCTGCCCTTCATCTTCTGCTGAGGCGCTGGTGGAACCATCACCTTCTCGTCCTGTGTGTCTCCCAGGTTCCTGAGGAAATGAGCCGATGTCGCAACTCTTACACTGAACAAGAGCTGAAACCCCTCACTCTGGAGGCCTTGGGACACCTGAGTCACGATCAGCCTGCCGACTACAGACACTTCCTCCAGGACTGTGTGGACGGCCTGTTTAAGGAGGTCAAGGAGAAGTTCAAAGGCTGGGTCAGCTACCCTACCTGTGAACAGGCCGAGCTGTCCTATAAGAAGGTCCGTCTTCCCCCTGTTCGTTCCCATGATCATGACTTTGAATCATCAGACACGAGACTCTCTGCTCAGTTGTCCCCTCTGTGGGAATCCCCACCCGAGACCTGTCTTTGAGAGCTGTCCCCTGTGTTGGGCAGCCAGGTGGTTGAGGTTCCCTAGGTAAGAAAGGACATCTGTCACAGACAGATGAACACACGGAAATCTCAGTCTACCCGTGATAAAGTCCCTTCCTCCCATGCAGTCATCCTAAGCTTCCCTCATTCACTAGTGTTATTGGGTTGTCAAGGGAAATCTTAAGACAATGCCTACATTTTTTCCCCTATACTCTAAAGAAAATAGTTTTACACTCCCTTCTGTTCTGAGTCACTGGGGCATCCTTGATATCTCATAATGTCCATCAAGGTGTTTGTCAACACTGTCTCCACTGCCTTGGAAATAAACAGAGGGGTCAAGTGAACATAGACTTTGGGGTGAAATAAACGAATTGTCACAGTCACTCGGATGCAAGTGAGCCCCAGGGAACAGAAGTTATGATTCTGACCAGAGTTGACGCTATCTTGTTTGCACTCCTAGCCTGCTCTTGAACGTATCCAAGCTGGTAGCCTATGAATGTCATAGATTTGCTAATCAGCCTCTGACCAAGGGGCCATGTCCCCAACTCAAAATTTGCTTTCAAAATTAAAGCATGTATGCTTTTCACTTAGCATTGAAAACAACTGCATCTTCTTTTCAGGTCAGTGAGGGACCCCCGCTAAGACTTTGGAGGTCAACCATTGAAGTCCCCGCTGCTCCTGAGGAGATCTTAAAACGTCTTCTGAAAGAGCAGCACCTCTGGGATGTGGACCTGCTGGACTCAAAGGTGATCGAAATCCTGGACAGCCAGACGGAAATTTACCAGTATGTCCAAAACAGCATGGCGCCTCATCCTGCTCGGGACTACGTCGTGTTGAGGTGAGAGCATCCAGGCTGATCTGACCATGGCATAGGCAATTAAACCTTAGCACTGAGCCTGTGTGTCGCTCCAACTCACAATATGGTTATGTTGCCTAAAATCAGGTGGAGGTGTCAGGAAAAGTGCTGAGCAATTTCAAAGCACATTTATGTTTATGCCGATAGGGTGCCTCACTGAGTCAGCTCTACCTCACGGAACTGCGCTCAAATGGAGAAAAGCCTTTTCAAATGATGTACGCCATGGTGCTAGATTTCTGCCCCATTGCCTACAGATATTCTGGCTCAAACAGCTCACAAGTGGGTAGGCCACGAAATAGCATCTGGTCCCAAGTGAGATGTGATTAAGGCTGACGTATATGTAATCCCCAAGTCCTCTAAAGGCTACTGGAGGAGCAGTTTAAAAGAACGTTGAGGAACTGTCATGATCTTCCAAAACTGTTCGCTGCTTGTTAGAAGTCCATATCCTGAGACATTCATGAAGTGTAAAGGGGCTTTAAAAAAAAAAAAAAACACTTCAAACTGGCTCTTTTCCAAAAAGAGAGACTGGGAGTCTAAGCATCACCACCACAAGTAGACGTGGTCCTGTACAGGTTGTCACCCCAGAGTCCATGCACAGTGGTTGGGAGGATGCCATGAAGGAGGTACCGTTTTCAGTCAAACCTATGGTTTCGTCTCCACAGGACCTGGAGGACTAATTTACCCAGGGGAGCCTGTGCGCTCTTACTCACCTCCGTGGATCACGACCGGGCCCCTGTGGTGGGGGTGAGGGTTAACGTGCTCCTGTCCAGATATTTGATCGAACCCTGCGGGTCAGGAAAATCCAAACTCACCTACATGTGCAGAGCTGATTTAAGGTACGTTCTGATCCTGACCTTCTGGTGTGGGGACGGGGATGCAGGAGATGCAGATTTTCCGTGTGATGCCCAGAATGGCGGAATGAATCTACCACTGTGTTTTGGAGATGTTATGAAGGGTGACGCTTATAAAGCCATACCTTGATGTTTGCTGTCCCTTCGGATGCTGCTTCCAATCCAGATTTCTCAGGAATCGTGCTACTAAAGCAGTGTGAATTTGGGAGTTTTTTTTTTTTTTTTATCACAAATGGAACCAACAAATAGATACTTCCCGTTCTATATTAGAAAGTGTTTTAACAGTGCATGTCTTGTAATTGGTTATGCCTCTGCTTGGGCAGTAAATGAACGTAATTCATCAGCTACAAGGACGCCCTGAATCAACTAGCACGTGCTCTTTTCTTAAATAAATTGCCCTTCTGTAAACACAGTTACCCACGAGATGCATTTCTGTGGCGCATGCCAAAGCTTGCTCTAAGCAGGGCCCTTCAGTAGCCATACTGTAATCGTTCCCTGGAAACTTTCTGGTCCCAGATGTGCAATGCGCATGCGTGGGGGTTGTCTGCGGACAAGAAGTCACCTTGACTTTCACCTGCTCACCAAGGAGTGGAAGTCGGGAGTGGAAGTTGGCAATGCAGCCCTTGAGAGGCTGGGGCTGGCCAATCACTGCGAGTTCAAGGCCCTATAGAGATGGCGGGTCAAAGAAAGACATGGAGGTAGGAGCCTTTGGTACAGCTCAGTAGTGAAGCATTTGCCTCTCATTCTTGAGGTCCTAAACGCAATGCTCACCGTTCAAGTTTGAAAAAAGAGAGAGTGTTCAAGAGTGCCTTCGACATCACTCAAATCTGTCTCATTTGAATAACTCGCCCACCTTGCTTCTGTGTGACAGGGGCCACATGCCGGAGTGGTACACAAAATCCTTTGGACATCTGTGTGCAGCGGAAGTGGTAAAGATCCGAGACTCCTTCAGTAATCAGAACACTGAAACCAAGGATACCAAATCTAGGTGATTACTGAGGCGGAGCACCTGTGTCTGCTGCCCGGGTGATTGATTCTAGAGCCTCGCCCGTCCTCGGAAGAGTTCATCTGGGTCTCATTGACTATAGCAATTTGATGAGATTTTTTTTTTTAAAAAAAAAAGCTGCTTCCTGTTTGTCTTAGGTCTATGTTATAGACCTTGACTGGATTATATAAGACTTGGGGACGGGGAGGTGGGGGGGCGGAATACGTGTATAATTCAGATTGCTTCTGAGAAGCAAGAACTCTTTCAGCGCATCACGGAAGAAAGCAAGGAGGCGTCGTTCTCTGGTGATGTCGGCGCACGTGTACCTAACGTCGTTCGTTTGCGGTGTGCTGCGGGACTGATATATCCACTGGAATGGTTGGTACTGGCTGACAGGTTTTTCTCCCTGAGAGGAGCAGAGATCGGTTTGCACAGAGGAGTGTGAATGTGTGTGTTGCAGGCTGAGTGGTACAGGTGAAGAGCTGGGATGCAGTGTCTGGCACACTGAGACGCCCACAGAGGATGCTGATACATACACCAGGGTTAGCTCTGCCTGGAAGAGCTGACTACCCAGGGATCACCCAGGAGGGGAACCCAGCTCCCTTCTCTATTTCCCCCCAGGTTATTGTGTTGTTGTTTTATTTGGGGGGCGGGGCGGGTTCTTTTGGTTTTTGTTTTTTTTTTTTTTTTTCTTTTTCTTCAAACCTTTGCTTTCCCATAAACTGTAGTTTCCCCCTGACTCTGTAACCAGTCGCACTAATGAACATCCTCTCCACTCCCTTGAGTGGCTCTAGAGGAAGGGTTTTATTTACGTGAGATGTAAAGGCGCCAAACACTAACGCTCTGTGTTAGTACCAGAACGTTTTTTATTTTCAGTACTGGGAGTTGAACCCAGGGCCTCTTATAAGCCAGGCAAGCACTCTACAGTGGACTTATCCCCAGCTCTGTTTTCACCTTTTATTTTGAGACAGGGTCTCACCACGTCACCCAGGCTGGTCTTGAACACTCGCTATGTGGCTGAGGCTGGGATAAGAGGGCTCATCAACCCTTTTAACCTGATATTACTCAGTATTGTTATGCTTGTGGCATCAACTCTAAAATAAACAAAGGGACACAGGGAAATATGTCCCCAGTAGGCTTAACCCGAGCAGAAGAGGCTTTTGGTTGTTAGTGTTCTCCGTGTACCCGACGGCAACAGCGCGGATTTTCATTGGGTTCGTCCTCATGCACAGATAGGTTTTCTGACGATGTGTTATTTTTCCTACATTTCTTTTTCCTTTTCTCTCACGTTGCCCTTGAACTGTATTTTAGTAATAATGGGGACTAGTAATCTCAGTGAAAAACAAAGAGTGCAGGTGTTCAGAAGGGCAGTCTTTTTTATACAGGTTTTACTGTAACGCTAAAGGTTGACTCAAGACAGTATTAGTAAATTTATTTTGTATGGATCAAAAAGTGAGTAACGTATGAATGAGAGTTGAAGAAGGATTTTTATTTTGTTATAACGCAGTTACCTTGTCAGTATTATTTCAAAGGTTCTTTGAAGAAAGGGGGGATGTGAGAGTAGAGTTTTAACATTGGAGTATTTGAATTATCAGTGTTGCTTGTGAAAGCGTGCGTGTATATTCAACTATGTTGGCTTCTGGATCTGTAATGTTGTATGCTGTACATACCATTCTATTTGAGAAACATGTACACATGTGTGTCCACTGTACTTTCAGACATAGATAAAGCATGATAAAGATTATTATTTAAAATATACTTGTATTTATACCTCAGATATTCTTTTGGGTTTTGTACCTCAAGGCTCCCCTCTCTGCATTGTAAATACACTTTACGTGAATACAGTTTTAGTGAAAAAAAAAAAAGAATAAATAAAGAGGTTTATAATTTCCCTATATCTGTACAGAGTATATTCAGTAAATGCACTATTAAATGTTGAAAGTAAGAGAAGGAGCCTGGCCTGCTTTTCTGCGTTGCATCTTCCTCCGCCTTTGGAAGCAGGGACTGCAAAGCACGGTGGCCCCGTGCCAACCAAAGTCCAAAGATATATCAACTGAAAGAAAAATTCGGATGACGAATCATTCCAAGGCCAAGCTGCATCTGAGCCACTCACTCACAAACAGGAAACGCTGGTGAAGGTTCAGGAAGCCTGGAGATTCTCTCCACACCAAGGTCAGAAACGATGCTGAGGATGTACGAGAACGGAGCAGCAGCAGCAGAACAGTTCTGAAAAAGCAAAGTCAAGGTCACTGATTAATCCCCAAAAGGTCGCTTTCCCATGTTTAGCTTTCCTGTTGAAGAGATTTCTTAGGTCTGGCCAGAGAAAAATTCAGAGCGCGCAACTTTCTAAGAGCTAGGCTTGCATCTTGTAACATCCCACAACTTGTCCTTGTGAGTCATGGTGTAGATTGTGAGTTCTTTGAGAGCAGGCACAAATCCTGCACACCTTTATATCCCTCAACAGCGGCTTTCAGTGTTTTGTACTTTGTAGACACCTAATAAATTTATCATTTGCTAAAGAACACCGATAGAATTGGCTTCTGTTATTTTTAAGAACAGAAAACCCAAGCTATCATCAACCTTAAACCCTTCTGTTCCTCATAGGCATTGGGTTTTGTTATATTTTCTATATTTTGGTTGACACGGGATCTTTCTACAAAGCCCAGGCTAATCTCAGACTTAGTATATAGCCCAGACTGGCCTTGAACTCATGACCCTCCTGCCTCAATCTCTTGTGCCTAAAATTACAAGCCTGTGTCACCACGCCCAGATACTGACCACTTGGAAATTGCAGTGATAAGAAAAATGGCAAATTCTGTGCGTGTTGATTGTAAAGTTTTTCATCAAGCCTGATGTGATGGCAGAAGCCTTTAATCCTAGCACTGGGAAGGCAGAGGCAGGCAGAGCTCTGAATTTGAGGCTAACCCTGTCTATGTAGTGAGTTGCAGGACAGCCAAAGTAATAGACCCTGTTAACAGAAAAAAAGGGGGGTACATTGTCAGGGAATCTTTTCTTTGTTCTGGGCATTGAAATCAGGGCCTCACACATACAGGCCAGGAAGACTATAGCACTGAACCACACCCCAGTCCCTCTGATGGACCTTTCCCCAGTTTCCTGTCTTAACATGCGTTGTGAAGTCATCTCTAGGAGGACTTATTTTGTCAGTGTTTACTTGAGCCATAGAGAGCAGGAAGTCTTTTCTAAAGTTTCTAAAAGGCCAAATCATATTTTTTTTTTTTTTTGTCTCTGTCTTCAAACAGCTATACAAAATGTCTTGGGCCAGAATCCCCATATCTATATTGTGGGAAGAGTCTAAGATCCCTAAATTACTAGCAGGTTCTATACACAATACCACCACCTTTCGTTCACAGGCCTCAGCTGTGGATTTAGACTGCTTTTGCTCCATCATGTGTTTGTAGCAAAAATGAAATTGATTCTCACACTGCTCAGAATGAAGACAACTTTGAGCAAAGCCAGCTCACCCGGCCCCGTGCTCTTAAACCGGTCTTTGCATCTTTCTTCTGTCTTCCTTCTTTAGATTATATCAGTGCTCCTCAAAGTCGGATGTGGTTTAGAAGTGTAGACCAACTTCCATTGATATGTGACTTACCAACGCTCTCAATGGAAACCAACTTTCCCAGGCTCTTGGAGCTATGGCTGCCGGAGGTCTGCAGCCCTTTAAGTCCGGTGCTCTCTGAAGCACTTGGCATCCATGTGAACGCTCAAAGAAATGAGGGATTTAGATCTGGCCCAGAGCAGCAAGTTTTCTTTACTTCCAGGGCTTGAGACAGACAAGGTAAACTTTTTCCAGCAACAAAGATAAACCAAGCTCCTCTTTTTTGTTGTTGTTGCAGCCTTTTGAAATGTAAACAGACAAGCTGGTCACTAATAACATTCCAAGGAAACAGGAAATTCAAAGTTCACACACTGTAAAACTTAACTAAAGTAAGAAGAAAATGAACCCATAGGGGACCATGGGAATGTCCGGATATCTCAAAGATCAGGAGAATATTTCATCCCAAGACCGTAGAACGCTAAAAATGGAACATCTTACTTATCTTAAAACTTATGCACAGTTTAAAAAAAAAAAAAAAAAAACTAAATTTCCAGAGGAAACTGACTAGCTGTTGAAGCAGAACGTGGGGAAAATGGTTGGCTTGGGGGTTTTGTTATTCGCGGTCGTTCTTTGTTTTGTTTTAGCCAACCTAATGTACAAATACTGTGGGATTTACATCAGCCTCTTCCAGGGCCACACTGGCATCCGGATGGCCTTCTACAGCATGGTTTGACCAGTACGATCCACACACTCTCATTCTGATGAACAGCATCTGTGGGCAGTTCAGCCCTGATGTCCAGCTGTCTCTCACAGGAGCCTTGCCCATTCAAACATCAGCAATGCATCATGGGTGACTCTTAAATGACTCTGTGTCCTGACCAGAGTGACCCTAAGAGACTGAGAAGCTAATTTCATAGACCTGCTTCTCTTGTTGGCTTTCACTTACTTTCTGCTTTTCTTACATCCTAAACCCATTTAATCGAGAAGTTTCTGAACCCCAATAAGCCTCTCTGCTGGCACAATAATCCAGGTCAGACAAAAACAAACTGAATTCGAAAAAGCCCAGGTTTAATGAATACCAACGCTCCCAGGTAGCCTCCCAGCCCTCACAGAAGAGATGATGGGGAAGACTGGAAAACCCATGTGTTTGTTCTCTGGAATATAATTTAAATACCCTGTGGGAGTGGTCTTGAGCATCTTTGGGGAGGGGTCACTATTTGGCAGGTGGGCTTTCTCGAAGGTAGAGTCTGGATTGAGGCAACTCCCAGTGGAGGGGGCTTGGGATGGAACTGCCACCAAAACATTCCAGACTCTTTGGCTATATGGATGCCAGTGGTTGGAGTGTGCCCTTAACCCAAACATTCCAGACACTTGGTGTATAAGGATGCCAGGTGCTGGGGTGACACTTCCAGACAAATGTCAAGAAAAGTACAAATGGAGATAAAAGTCAGAAACACAGGGAGCAGTGCCTTGGTGTAAAACAAAACCTCATTTAGTCAAGCAAAGAAGAGAGAAGCAGTGCAGGAAGGAAGCACAGGAAAGGAAGACAGGACGTCGGCAGTAATCAGCCCACCTTCTCTACACAGTCATGGGCTGCATCCCATGACCCTTCCGCAATGGAAAGCCATGCAAAATCACAATTTTTATATTTTATATTACCAGGGAGTGGTAAGACAAGAAGGGGTGGAGCGCTAAGGGCCACACAGAAAGTGAGAAATCAGAGAGACCGTCATGAGTGGTAAGTAATGACTAGGCGATTTGGGGGCATATAGATTGGGAGACAATTTTGCCAATGAAGAGAGGACTATCTACTCAGGTTAGGGAACATTCCTTCCTTGAGGACACCCAGGAAGGACAGTTCAGACAGGATCTTGGTATGTAAGAGCCGTGGATCTATCAAGTCAGAGGTCACAAAGATGCATAAGGACTTTTAAGATGCTGAATTCCAGCATTGATTTCCAGGGGGGGAAAAAGGCAAGCTTAGGGAGGCTGGGAATGCCTCAAGATATCTTTCAAAAGAGAGCAATAAACAGGCTAGGAGCCCTAAACAAAGAAGACAAGCACATTGACTTCAGCTTTCTCTGAGTGTTCCTCCACAAAGGTGCCCTGGGTCGGTGTCATTCAAGCCTCGGTCTCTGCCAAGAGGACCCCAGTCAGTAGGAACTGGTGCTATCCTTCCCACTTGGTCCCATGACTCCCCCAAAGTGAGACCTTCTGCTGAGCTGCATGTTCAATTGCTCCAGGCAGCTAAGTCTGCCAGAATCTAACTTGCTATGCACAGTTGGCTACCATATCGCCAACGCCCCGTCTGCCTGTTTAATGCACCATGAACCAAAAGTCAATTTCGAATTGAATCTTAGACCGAACAGATACAGTCTATTTTTCTACTGCTCTTTGCTAGGCAATATAGTCGGTCGCCTGTTTACATGTCACGCACAGGGTGTTAGGTGTGAGACGAACCCTGGGATGATTTAAGTTTATGGGTGGATGGCTGTAGATTCTGTACAAACATCACACCATTTCATTAAAGGACGTGAGCATCTATCTGTGTCTGTTGGTATTTGAGAGAGGGCCTGAAACCCATTCCCCACAAATAACCAGGAAGAGTCTATTCGCTGGGCTTCACGGACAATTGTTTGCTGAATCAGGTTGGTCGATAAGGATCCAAATTTCCCCATAGGTAATTTTATGTCATCCCAAACCCTGAAAGACTGCAAGCATTATCCAGTTTCACAAACAAAAGACACAAAGTATTGGTGGATTAGGTTGCCCAGTGTGTTGTTCCTTTTGGAGACTACAACTCCCAGAACCCTCCTGGATTACGGACACCAATGCGCGCAGGCGCAGGGAAACTTCTCCCAGATACCCTTGCGCTTCTCGTTAAAAGCAAGCTCCCACGAGCCTTCGCTCATTTTCCCTCCCACCCTCTCCTGTCGCTGCACACCTGTCCCTTACCTGTGTTACCCCTCCGCCATTAAAGTGCACCCATGTGGGAGCCGCATGTCCGTGTCTCCTCCTTGACCCCGCTCCGCCGTGCGTGTTTTGTCTGTCTCGTATTTGTCTCTCCCCTCCACACTCACGCGCTTTAAAAGAATAATACAGTGTTTGCTGGAAGGTTAATCACACAGGGCTTTAGGAGCAGAGCCAGGCATAGGGGAAGCACTCCATGTCCGTTAGTTGTTATAGAATTACTTTACTAAAGGTCGTATCTTGTAACTACAAAGACTTCAGTGCCACAGACTCTCCGGTGTCAAACGATCATTCGTACCTGCAATGTGATTTTAAGGAATTCGTTACTTCATCTCTGTTTCCATATAAAACAGAGGCAGTGGTAGAGAATCCGACAGTAAACACTATGTAGCGTTGCCATTTCCAAATGTCTTCCTTTTCTCCTAGTTTAAACATGAGCCTAAAGTAAACTGTACATACCTCTACAATAACTATTAACCAACTGAATATAACCCAAGCTTGGTTATATATCAGGACCCTATAAGCAAGGTAGTCAAAGCCTCACAGCTTTTTTTTTCTCCTGCAGAGGTTCTAGAATTCAGTAATATTGACGCCTACGACCACTACCCCAGGTCTTAGAGGATCACTCACCAAACACTTATCTGTTCAGGAGTTCTCAGAGAAAAGCCACAGAAACGTAAATGTCTCCTTTTAGCTTAGACGTGCTTACAGTACCGCCAGGGGGACAAAGAGAAATCATTTGAGTGAGACTTGCTGTGATGAAGATTCCACCAAGGCCTTGGGAAAGAGGTGACACCTGAGCTAACTGCTGAAGGATGATGGGGGAGGGTGGAAACATGCCTGGCTGCTCAACTTTGGGGAGATAGCCCGGAAGTCCTGGGAGGATGGGCAGGAAGTACTACGTGGCTGGAGGGGAGGCAGAAGTGCCTGAGAAGGCACTAGGGAGCCGGAAAATGGCCCGCTTATAAACCTGATAAATCTGATTGTCACCTAAAG